CAATCAATTGATCATGCCGGAACATGAAAATAAAACTTGTTAGTAAATTGCACGTGAAACATTCAGGCTTCACGATAAAATAGCCCTTGAATTAAAATGCCGCGTGCGTGTTGATAAATCGGACGTACCGCCGAATCAATGGAGATGCAGACGCATGCATGCCGCCCCGCGCGCGTGTGATGGTACTAGCCTAGGCTACTTGGCTGAGTCTGGCCTAGTCACATCGCAAACTCTCAATATGCGGAATTACTAGTTAAACAGTAATTTGGCAGCAGAATAAGTATCCGAATGATCGTTGCGCGCGTTTTTGCCGCCGTAGCCCAGTGGGTTACCGTTCTGTTACAGCATGGGTTTGTATATTAACATTGAGCCAATATCTGAAATTGAAGATCGATTAGAATCATTGAATTCAAAATCGCTTAAAAAATGAGATTAATAAATTCAATGATTGACTCTGACGGTACAGCTTGAGGCCGGGCCCAGTTGCTTATACCTCATAAGCTAGCTCATCATGCACTACTTGTTATACACACGTTATACGTATACGTACATGGGTAAATCCATTCCGATATGTATTGACGTATCACATTCCATGTCGGATCATATGCCATTGTAACATGCATCATTGTAAGTTCGATCAAGCTCTTGCGCAAGCAACATGCGCCCGACTCATCATGTCCGCGCGCGCACATTTACTGAGCCGGCCCTACGTACGTACATTAATTACGGTAGTCTGAATTAAGTATCCGGCCTCCTACAAGGCTTCATGCAAGTACCACTGTACAAAGTACTGCATGCTTAAGCTAGGCACTAATTCAACGTACCGTGCCACGGTGCATGGCCCACTGATGCATGCATAAAATTGAAGCTCAATGATGCATCCAATCAGCACGATGCAGGGACTCGGCCATTGTTTCATGCAACACGATCTGCAGTTCTCGTGTACGTCTAAGTTTGCAAGCAATGTGTACAATTGGGAAGTATCATATGCTATAGCTATACATATGCTATAGCTACATAAGTTGACGTACTCTGAAGGTTTGTACCTAGAAAAGCGGAGTCACGTAAAAACCCGCTATAAGGTTGCACGAGTATCCGCTCTGAAGCCGGCCCTACCATACGCAAATTTGAGTTGAAGTTGGGTACCTAGCTGGCTACAATAGTTCCCCTTGATTTCCTTTATTGAGCGTTGCAAAGTTGGCTTAATTTCTTTCTTGGCACGGGCGGGCCGGCCTGCCGTGCCCGGTAGCTAGGGCAGCTAAGTATCCCTAGCACTGATCCAATGCCTTCCCTGGGTCTTGGCACATAATGTGATGCATTCGGTGGGCGGTCTTATTGTACTCATATGCATGGTGGCCGGTGTTTCCTTGTCTCAATTCTTCCAGCCCAATCCTGACCATATCGCCCTCTAGTGGCAAGAACATGATTTTCCGCGTGATACGGAGCACTTGCAATGCGGTATTAATTTTGACATGCCATGCCATGATGATGCACGATCATCGGCCATGCCCTAGAACACTAGCGCACTCCGTGGATTCAAGGCTATTTACGGGCAGTTTCTCGCTCTTGCTCTTGTCCTCGCTGTCGTGATGACAATACACCAGATTTTTCCTCGATCAACTGGTTCCAACAGGCAGAACTTACTGCATATGCCACGACGATCAAGAGCAACTAAAAGAACAAACCATATTTCATCAAACCATATTGCATACAACCTTGACAAGACCCGTGCAACTCGGATCTCTTCAGTTCAGACTCTTAGCTTCTTCTGAAAACGAGTCGTGAAGTGTGCACATTGATTGCGACAATCTGGGCGACTGACAAATTCGCAAGCAAACAGATTCGACTTCAAGCGATTTCGATCATCTATTTTGACGTGATTTTACCTTACTACCTTTCAAGTAGCTCTTTCCACCAATCCATGCGGAACTACCATCGCTACCACGCCAAATAGCACCGCGTGCTCCTGAACTCTTTCCAGTGAAAGCATGCCGCTGTTGGACCTGAAGACAATTCAATATCCATATGAGACTTTACGAAGAGCAGGGGTCACAGGCCCCAGAAGCTGCTGGCAAATGGTCAGGGGCAGAAGCCACATAAGGCTGTTCACTTTCTTATATGCGTCACTATGTTCGAAGCTGGAAAGACGGCTGCAATGATACTTGTTTCATATCCGGCCTGGATTGGGGCGCCTCACCGGCTGGTTGGCAGCCCAGCCGACACATTTCCATTAACCGTAGTTGAGCCGGCCGGGCCGCGAGGGGCAGCGCGTCAGGGCGACAGAGCGAGGACGAGCGCGGCGAGGAGGGGTCCAAAGACAGCCGCCGCCACGCCCAGGATGACCAGCCAGCCAATCTGCACTCATAAGAACGCGCGGCTGGGCCAGGGGGACAGGCGGAATAGGGCGGACGAGCACGCGAGGACGGCCCACCAATGGCAGCAGGAGCAGCCAGACGAGGGGCGGGCATTTCAAACGAGAGAAGCAGGGGTGGACCCCAGCTGGCAGGCAGGACTTGCGCAGGGGGGAGACTGGGCTCCACCTATCGCGGCAGGCAGTGGGCACAGCACGGGTTCCGGATGGCAGCAGAGTAGTAAATCATGGATGGAACAGGGGGAAAAACGTCAGACAGCGCAGGCCACAGACACGAAAGCCAATGTCCAACGCATAAATCACCACAAATCCACTTAATCCAATAATACCCGAATCCGTCGTCCTTAAAGATACGAAGGTCTTTCCGAATCTAGAGCGCTGTCTAACCCACATCAACTTTAACAACATAAATACCAGCATGGGTGGACACGCCAGCATGCTTTGCTGGCTGCCTAAGCCCTGCCCGCTAGCCCTAGCCTGGACCTAGACGCTTGCGCTACAAAGCGGCTAGTTCCTTGAGCGCCGCCCCGAGATTACGATGACCAGCAGCGAGGCCAGCAGCATGGCGCCGACGGCCATCCACATGAGCAGCTGCCCCAAGCGGCCCTACAGACAAACGCCCACCACACAGCCACGCTTCAGCAACCACCACACCCCCACACCCACAGCAGCCACCACGCGAGCAGGCAGCAGCCAGCAGCAGGAGGCACGCGCTACAGCCCGAGGGAGCCAGCAAAGACAGACACACAGAGCGAAAGAAAGGGCAGGCACGGCCTGGCCACTGGAAGAGTACACAATGCAAGAATCGCAGAGCAGGAAAACTGACATAATAAACACAAGCAATACAACGGTCTCAAGGGTGTGGAAATAAGGTCAACCTTGTCACACGCTGTTTGAATGGGCACAATGGCCGTCAGAGAGCAGTGCTTTACAAAATTGCTGCAACTTTTTGTGCACATACCCGATCACTATAATTTGCCTTAATCTCAATAACGAGCTCCCCTCGTCGAGTTCTCATTCTCATATTCTCGATAAACTCTCGTTCTCAAATCCCACAAACATGTTCCTTCATTCTCTTCCTCTGCGCTGGAGCGCAACGAGGAGGGGCAACAACAAGGACCCACCCGTGGCCACCACGCCACGCAGGACAGGGTCAACCAGAGGTGGGGGCACCCCAGCCAGCACCCGGGCAAAGGGATGCGAAGTGGTCACACTCGCCGAATGGACTCCAAGTGGACTCGCAGAATAGCGGCATGACAGTGAGACTTACAACGACGGCCGCTCTGGTGGTCGGGGGTGGGGGGCCGCTCACGGAAGCGCTGCGGGGCCGAACCGGGCGAGGGGGGAGCTGCAAGCATCAGGAAGCACGAATGCCGTCAGATTATCTGAACACCGGAGTAATACTAATAGCACACACCATGCCTCCTGAAATTGCTCTCTGCAGTTGAGCAAGGACAGTGCACACAAGCTAGCCCATTGCAAGTGGTGGTGAGGGTGGGCCCTCACTGGGGGTGGCGCTGGGATGTTCTTGGCCTCCGACTTGCAGATCTCACACTCGTTGCTGCCCCGGCTGGTGAACCACTGCATGATGCACGTCTGGTGCGCCTGCACACATTCGCCCGCAGAGGGGTGGTCAGCACCACGCAGCCTGCGGACTGGGCACTGCCCCGTGTGAGGTGGCAGCCAGGGACAGTGGCATGCGGGGAAGGCGCCAGGGGATCCCCTCTGCGGAGGCTCTGTGCAAAGCCCGCTTTCGTACAAGAAAGGAGCACTGCTCCAAAGAGAGGCGTCAGGCATTGGGGCCACAAGCACGCCACCGCATGCCCGGCTTAGAAGTCGCTCCGCAGCTGCTGCGCTGGGTGTTTGTTCAAACGAGACTCACCAGGTTGAGGCCGTCACGGCAGTCACAGCCGATGTCGATCACCGGCTCCTCAGTCCCCACAGTGTGACAGATCCTGCACAGGTGACACAACGAATGGAACGCTCAGCGGCCAGCGAGCAATGACCAGCCGGGCGCACGAGCAGGCTGCACCGGGCATTGGGCCTGAAGCCCACATTGTGAAACGGCGACCACAATTACAGGCCCAGCTGCACGCTGTCGTGGGGGCAGGCTGGTGCGGGCAGGCAGAGGGTGCGCCAGCGGTTGCGCTCACCTGCAGAACTCGACGTTGCTGTAGGAGGACCAGCCGCTGTTCATGCGGTCGCGCCCCCAGGACAGGGCGCGGCTCAGCGAGCGCCGCAGCGACGGCATGGTTGTCCACAGCGCAGCCGCGTCGGGGTTGCCCGCACCCACCGCAGGAGAGAAGCTGACCTGCCGCGTCAACGACCGCCGTGGCGCCTCCCCGGGACCGCCCGGCGCTGGGGCACCGCCCAGCAGAGAGGAGCGCATGCTCTCGTCCTCCAGAGGGAGCACAGGCACAGCCCCCTCCAGGGTGCTGTTAACGCCTTTTGCTGCTGCCGCGGATGGGGCGGTGTCGCTGGTAGCCGGGAGCTGGGTGCCGACATCCCAGCTGGCGGCATGCACGAGGCGGCTGATCGAAGGGATGGCCTCCCGCCGGGCGCCCTCTTCTTGTGCATCCTGCAGCGACATCTCAATGGCCACGCTGGGCAGGCTGCCTGCACGCCAGATCCTTGTAGGAGGGGCGGCGCTCGAGTCCAGGGACACCTTTCTAAAGTCGGGTTCATTTCGGCTCTTTAAGATGGGGCGCGGGGGTTTGGGCATACTGGTTTGGGTACGTAATCGGGGAGGACTACCCCGCTTGTCCACCTTAGCCTCGCCCCCCGCTGCTGGCAGCGACTGCTGCCCCGTCTCCGCCCGTGCCTTTAGATCGTTCACATCCAGCACCACCCCCGACCCCGTCCGTGCTGGCCCACATCCAGCGGCCCCGCCGGCACCCCAATCCTCTGCCGGCTGCCCCAGCCCTGCATTACCATCGCGCTCCCCCCTCTCTTGTGCGCTGGGGCCTGCGTGGGGAGGCATGGCACCGCCATTATTGTCCTCCCGGATATCGACGCGGACCTCCGCTGGCGGAAGCGGCACGGACCCCATGAATTGTACAGGAAGACCAGCGCCCCACCAGGCCGCACCAAAACACCTGATAGACGGAAGCACCAGATAAACCGAAGAAATGACGACAGTCTCGGACCACACTTTCTCGCAGCAGCCCTCTTACCCGAAAAACGGAATACCTATGCGCATAGCATTTTCGCTAAGGCTAGGTACCCCGACACCAGGCTGTGCTCGAACGCTTTCGCTACCGTATCTCTCTTGCGCTTGCATTTGAATTTGAATGCATGGGATCCGCAGGCAAAATGCAGGCATAAAATTGCTTGTATCCCATGACGGATCCGTGCTCCCTGACAAATTTAGAAATACCGTTTTCACGTCATTTTCCTACTCCTGACAAAATTGGAATCCCCGGGCGGTTGTCACAGGGAAGTACCGGGCAAACTAAAAACCTAGGATAGAGTGACCGCCACACCCTAATGTCACTGGGAAGTGCCCGGTTGTCACTCGGTTGCCCGCGAGACCCTAATGTCACAGGGAGGGCCCGGTTGCTTCCCGGGCGGTGTGCGAGACCCTAATGCTAGTGGGACTTGAGTGCTGGTTGCGCCCGGGGCAAGCCGTCGCGAACCACCACCCCACCCCCTCCAATAAGGGGCGCCGCCCTTATGTACTGCAATTTGAGACGGTCGCGGCGAGCAACTTTGTGGGTCGACACGGTCGCGTTGCGCACGGTCGATATCGGGCCGTGCATTGCCGATCGTACGGTGCGCGATGCAACTGCGGTGCCAACCCTTTTGTCAAATGTGCCAGTTCGCACGCCCTCGACAAATTTGTCAGGAGTAGGAAAACGACGCGTATACGGTATTTTAAATTTGTCAGGGTACCGATTTCGTTGGGAAACAAGACACTTTCCTTACTCGCAGAATGAGAGAGAAAGAAGGTTCGACAGCCTGACGACAGCATTTGCTTCACTTTGCAGTAGGGAACAGCCAAAACCCGCATGGTTACGCATTGGGTTATGACGGGCTTGCTACTCGTTCAGGAGCCACGTGTCGTGTTCGGTGTCGATTTTGCATGCTGGAAGTGACACGTGTCAGACTTTATAATTCCTGAGGGATAACCAAGATTTCCGTCCACCAAACCCACCTGTGATGTCAACAGATTGCTCGAAGCGAAGGAAAGCTTTGAAGTTTGATCCGGTTTTCCACGGAAGGCGGCGCCCTGGGTTGGGGTTGTAGGTTTTGTACAAGCTTGTCTTACAAGCCTTAAAGTTAGGACAAGCTTTGTGGTAGGCATCGTTCAAGCGGTTGCTCTGCCCTTGATGAATGGGGGTGCCAGGGTCCTCTACCAGTTGCAGGTAACACGGCTCATTTTGACACCGCCAGTTCTGGAGGCGCCCTTTCGCGGGGTCATTACCATGGCCTTGATGCACATCATGCCCGCTGGCCTCCTCGGCGGCCATTTGAGTTTCCACGGCCTGGTTCGGACAGCGGGTGCCCCGCAGCTTGCGGCATTGCCAGTAGCTGCGGCAGGGCTGCCTCCCCTGCCCGGCCGGATGCAGGCGCCATTTCGCCCGAGGGGCGCCGACTGGAGCACCCAATTCCTGGGCCGCCAGCTTGCTCTCTGTCAACCTGCCCTGTTGCCTGCCTATTACACGCTGTGTGCGCCTGTTCACCTCCGCCTGGATCGCTCCCTACCTGGGCTGCCCTCGCGGCCGTTCTCTGCGCGCGCCGCCGCCCGCAAGGGCGATGGTGGAGGTGGTGGCGCTGGTGGTGGCACTGGCGGTGGTGGCAGCGGCGCGGCACATGCGCTGGTGGTGGTGGAGTCGCCCAGCAAGGCCACCACGGTGGGGCGCTACTTGGGGCCCGACTACGCGGTGCTGGCCAGCTATGGCCATGTGCGCGACTTGGCACCAACGCCAGGCAGCGTGCAGCCGGACAATGAGTGGGCCATGACGTGGGCGGTGCCGGTGAAGGCGCACAAGTGCCTGGCGGCCATCCGCGCGGCGCTGCGTGGGAAGCGGCTGCTGGTGCTGGCCAGCGACCCGGACCGGGAGGGGGAGGCCATCGCGTGGCACCTGCAGGAGACGTTGAGGGAGGCGGGGGCGCTCAACAACACCCAGGTGAGGGCAAGCGCACTGACAGCGGAGTCATGGCTCCGCAGAGTCAACATAGAGATCTTCAGTGGACAACCACTGTGCATCTGCGGAGGTCTTGGCTGCCGAGGCCGGATGAGACTCAGTGCTTTGTTCTTCAAGTCGGCTTAGAGGCCAGGTCTTTAGCATTTTTGAATAAAAGTTTTCCTCTGGGCGCCACGGAGGTCCTTACAAAAAGCACCTAGAGGAAGAGGTCTGAATGTATGCAAGTTGGAAGTTGTTGCACTTTTCAAGTTACGTGCTTTATCCCCTTCAAGAAGGGCGTATCACCTGGGTGGGGATTCAAAGAAGACGTATGACCAGAGCGACGATCTGTCAGCACCTGCTGTGCTAGGAAGCAGATTCTATGTTGGGGACAAGAACTAAGAGACTTGTGTCTTCGCGATCGAAAAGCAGGTGGGTGCTGCGCAGTAGCTCTGTGATGTCCTGCAGTCTCTCCGTTGCGTCTATGTACCTCCTCCTCAGAGGTGTGGCCTCGTATGTTTCGCGTTTTGCATCTCCCCCTCAGCGCATACCGGGCCCTCCTCGCTTCGGGCCCTCTTTGATGGCCCTCTACAAGAGCGCCTAACCTTCTGCTCAGGTCATCCGCGTGGCGTTTAATGAGATCACGCGTGATGCGGTGCTGGCCGCGTTGGCCGCCCCACGCGATGTAAGCACTCCGCTGGTGGAGGCATACCTGGCGCGGCGCGCGCTGGACTACGTGATGGGCTTTGGGCTGTCCCCCGTGCTGTGGCGCAAGCTGCCCGGCAGCAAGAGCGCGGGCCGCGTGCAGAGCGTGGCGCTGCGCCTTGTAACAGACCGCGAGCACGCCATCCGCACCTTTGTCAGCCGCGAGCACTGGTCCGTGGCCGCACGCCTCACGGGGCCAACGGGGGATGTCTTTGAGGCGGCGCTGACGCACCTGGACGCGCGCAAGTTGGGCCAGTTTGGGCTGACCACAGAGGAGGACGCGCAGCAGGCTGCGGGCAGGGTGCGGGCGGCCAGGCTGGAGGTGGCGGAGGTGAAGAGGAGCAAGGTGAGGGTGCAAGGGGGGAGGGAGGCCGATCTTAGGGGCATTTCGCCGTCGACTTTAGATTTACGAAAAGGTATCACAAGCCAGCAGTAGTTCGCCTTTCGGCTCAGCCAATGTCGACTCTGCTGATAGTTGCATCATACTTTGGATCTGGATGGCAGCTAGGGGCAGGTGGGGGAGCTGGCGGGTAGGTCGAGGGCCAGTGCTTCCACCAGTTTACCCAGTGTCGAACCTGTTCGCTTTCTGGCTTTCCTGAACCTGACACGCGTGCTGGCCTTTGGTTGCAGGTAGAGCGCAGCCCTCCCCCGCCCTTCACCACGTCTACGCTGCAGCAGGAGGCCAGCGCCAAGCTGAGCCTGGGTGCAGCGCAGACCATGGCCCTGGCGCAGAAGCTGTACGAGGGGGCCGACACCGGCGCGGGCCTCATCACGTACATGCGCACCGACGCCACGACGCTCTCCTCGCACGCCGTCACCGCCATCCGTGCCACAGTGGCTGCGCGCTACGGGCCAGAGTATGTGCCGGCTCGCCCGCGGGTGTACAAGAGCCAGGCCAAGAACGCGCAGGAGGCGCACGAAGCCATCCGGCCCACGGACATGGCCGTGCTGCCCAGCGCACTCGCCGGCCGGGTGGACCCCAGCGCGCTGCGGCTCTACAGCCTCATCTGGCGGCGCACTGCGGCGTGCCAGATGGCAAGCGCGGTATACGCGCAGCTGGCAGTGGACGTGGCCAGTGCCGACCAGGCGGTGCGCCTGCACGCTGTCGCGTCGGAGGTGCAGTTCCCGGGGCACCTCGCAGTGCACAGCGACGCCGAGGTGGGCTCCCGGTTCGCGCGGGAACAGGTCCCTGAAACAGACGAGGCGGAGAGCGGCGAGGATGCTGTGCCGGGCAAGAGAGCGGGGCTGGAGCGGCTCGCTGTGGGGCAGGCAGTGGCCGTGGGGGCCGTCACCCCGGACCAGCACTTTACGCAGCCGCCGCCGCGCTTCACTGAGGGCACACTGGTGAGGAGCAGCACACAGCCAGGATGAACTTACATATATAGCCTTCGCTTGCACCGGATGCTCCACAAGCGGCGAAGTCTCTTATCCCCCTTACTGAAAAGATGTTGCTACACGATAATGTGGGGGAGTAAGGCCCCTATTCTCTCCGAAGGGGATCAAGGCCGTGACCAAACCTGATGGGGACACCATTCTGTTGGAGCCCTTTTCTTCGCTCACGGCAGACGACAGGCTTTGGCAGTCAGTGAATGACAGAGATGCTCTCTGTTTCTTCCGTGTGCCCCGCTGGCCCCCTTGGTCCAACCCTGCGCTCCGTTTGGTATGGTGTGCAGGTGAAGGCGCTGGAGGAGGCGGGCGTGGGCCGGCCGTCGACGTACGCGTCCACGCTGCGCACGCTGGTGGAGCGCGCGTACGTCCGCAAGGAGGGCCGGCGGCTGGTCCCCGAGATGCGCGGCCTGCTGGTCGCCGCGTTCCTGCAGCACTACTTCCCGCGCTACGTCGACACGGCCTTCACCGCGCAGCTCGAGGCGCAGCTGGACGACATCACCGCGGGCGCGTGCCCGTACAAGGCCGTGCTCTCCGCCTTCCACACCGACCTGCAGGCCGCCATCAACGACACCGCCGCCATCTCCAAGCAGCAGGTCAGCACGGCACAGAGAATGCAGCACAGGTTTCAGGGTCTGGGTGTTGTCGAGCAGCGGGGAATGGGGCAAATTGACATACTTGGTGTGACATGATTTGTGACTGGGGTAGACACAGTGTAGCCTCGGTCCCTGGCCATCCTCGCCCCCATCCTTGTCATTTCTCTTTGGGCAGGTGGAGGACGCCCTGGAGGCGGCGTTTGGCGACTGGCTGTTTCCCGCTCCGGCCGCGAAGGGCGCAGACCCGCGCGCGTGCCCCGTGTGCGGGCAGGGCCAGCTGGAGCTCAAGCTGAGCAAGATGGGCGGATTCCTCGGCTGCTCCCATTACCCCGAATGTACTGCGCGCCTCCCGCTCACCTTCGGCAGGTGCGTTGGCCCGGGCGGCTAAGCGACGATGCACCCTTTTCGTGGTCAGGCAGCAGACCCGGGGCGGCAATGCGCGCTTGCCCCTCTCAGTCCTCACTGTGTGAATGCCTGAAAATTTCCCTCGAGACACCAGCGTACGAAAGCTCTGTCTGTTACAGGCTAGTGCTAGTCCCGGCCGACAGTCACGCAACTGTACCCTTGACTCCCTCACCAGCAGCTTGCCGTCTTACACAGTGTATGCCAGACCCTCTTTTAGTCGCGCCGTCCTTGCGGTCTTGTCCCGCAACTAACACTCCGACTCGTGGCTGGCGCAGCCCGCTAGACATGTCCACGGCCGGTGGGTGCCCGGTGGTGTTGGGGGACGACCCTGTGACGGGGCTGCCGGTGAGCCTGCGCACGGGGCCGTACGGGCCGTACCTGCAGCTGGGGGAGGCGCAGGGCAAGGCCAAGCCCAAGCGGGTCGCGCTGCCCAAGGTCAGCCCACGCCGCGCCGCCGCTAACATGATGGGTTCGCCACTCGAGACGGCGCGCATGTTCGAAAACGTGCAAAGCTTGTCAAAGTCGGACTGTTTGTGTGTGCCTGTCTGCCAAATTCGACTTGACAATCTTCCCAGGGTTTGTCAGAGGAGTGCATAAAAGTTAGCTGTCTGCTTGACAGTCGCAGCCCTTGAAGCTGGTATGTTTCCTCCAAAGTGTCAAAATGGACAGGCCACGTGGTCCATGATGGAGCAACAAATTGTGTCAGCATCTTGAGAGTCCCTGAAGGTTGCAGGTTCTTCTCTCCTGTGCCGGCCGCCCTGCTCGCGCGCGTGGTCGGACTCGTGCCGGCCTGCAATGCGCTGTCCCTCTCGCTCTCTTGGGTTCCCCCTCTGCTGACGCTGCCCTTGTCCCTTGCTGGGGCTGCAGGGCCTCGGGGCCGACGTGGATTTGCCCCGCGCGCTGCAGCTGCTGGCGCTGCCGCTGCCCCTGGGCGAGCACCCGGCGCTGGGCGGCCCCGTGTCGCTCAGCCTGGGCAGGTTCGGGCCGTACGTCGAGCACGCGGGCAACGCCGCCTCCCTGCCACCGGTGAGTTCCGAGCCCCTCGCTTCGGTGCACCAACCGAGGCGCTGGGACTGGAGGCTTCGGGAATGGTGCTCAGAGGCGCATGCCTAACGTTCGGCAAGTGAGGACTGGGATGTGTGGGGTGGTGGCTGGGTTGTGCATGATTGTATAATTGCCTCGGATGCCGATTCCCGTTGCGGGCTGCTTGCTGTCCTTGGGCATGACAGCACAGCGCATGATGCACCCTTGGAGTGCAGTTGACGTTGCCTGGCGGGGACTGTCGCCAGGAACAGTGAACGCTCCAATGCGTGTCTCTGCACTCTGTCTTCCCGTCGAGGCTGTCCCGGTGCCTGCTCGTCGCCTGACCCTGCCCCCTGCGCTCTGCTGCAGGGCCCCCGCGATATGTTTGCGTTTACCCTGGCGGAGGCGGTGCCGCTGCTGGCCGCCAAGGGCAAGCCCCTCCGCGGTCGCGGCCGCCCCAGCCGGGGTAACACCAACCAGGCGGCAGCAGCGGACAAGGCGCCGGCCAAGCGGGGGCGCAAGAAAAAGGAGGCGGCAGTCAAAGAGGGGGCTGATGTCAAAACGTTGAATGCTTCAGCGGAGGATGGCAAAGCAGAGGAGGTCGTGGCAGCGAACCCCCCCAAGAAACGAGGCAGGCCTAGGAAGGTTGTAGCGCAAGTTGCAGAGGGAGAGGAAACACCGAAAGACGCCCAGCCTGCACTGGAAGCACGGCCGGGGGCAGCGGCCACTGATGAGGATGCGTCAAGCATAAGGCGCGATGGTGAGGAGCACGCTGGAGCACCTCCTCCGAAACGGAAAGGCAAAGGGGCAGAGAAAAAATCTCTCAAAAAGGTAGAGGCGGGTCTTGCGGCAGCACAGGAAACGGTGCGTCGCGCGAAGGTCCCTGGGAAAGCCTTGGTAGCCGCCCAGACAAGCGAGCAGCCGGCGTCGAGTGCAGGGAAAGAGTCGGGCGGGGCCAGCCGGGACGAGACGCCGGGGTCAGGCCCGCAGCTGCGCATCCTGACAGAGTGGCCGAGCAAGCGGCGCAGCCCGGCAGAGAAAGCGGCGGACCATGCGGCCGGGGTGTTCCGTCCATGGGAGGTGCAGAACGGGCTGCACCTGCCCTGGCTGCAACAGCAGGAGGCCGCGCGGGCAGCCGCGCAGCGCAACCCGGGGGCCGACCACCGGGAGGGCGGGGCAGAGGCGTCGTCCGCGGCTCCGACAACGGATGAGCGGCAAGAGACCCCTGCTACGAGCGGGCGAGCGGGCAGCCCGGCTGCAGATAAGATGGAAGGGGTGGCGCCAGGGAGGGGCCACAGGATGCGGCCAGCGCTGAAGGCCGGGCGGCCGTCGAAGGTGGTGGGGCGGGGCGGGGCAGGCCTGCGGCAGGGCGAGGAGGAGGAGCAGGCGAGGTACGCTGTAGCAGCGGGGCACTAGGCACGAAGCGACGGGGCGCAGTGGTGAGGACTGCTCATGCACGTGGAGCTGACGCGGATTGGAGTACTGAAGAAGCGGATTGGTGCGGACGCGGTAGCGGCCAAAATGCAACGGTGATTGGATAAAGCGGCTGGGTGGGGGAGCTCTAAGAGGGGGGCTGCACGCAGCGGACGGAGAACGTCGGCACTCCCCATCTCGTGCGGACCAGGGGAACGCGCACAAAGGGGGCCGCTGCCGATCCAGTCCGGGGAAGGTATGGGACGAGCTTTAGTCGGTCTGTGTGTTTATGCTTGGTCAAATTTCCTTGCTTTAGTAAACACGGGTTACTCTTCTAAAGATGGTAATTGGAAAATATTCCAAGGTTGACGACATCGTTGGTGTTTGCTCTCCGCAGAAGGCTTTGCCGCGTCACGGGTTCAGTAACTGCTTCTTTGATGGGCATCCCAAGGCATTATTTTTCGGTCAGTCTGTTCCATATGCGTTTAGTTTCAAATAGGATTGCGGATCATCTGCGATCATGATCAGTCGCCTTTTTGGGTAAACATTTGTTGATTCTCATTGCCGAATTGAAACTGAATGCTCGTGTCCTTCTCGTTGGAAACGAAGGACAGCTCGAAGTAAGGGCCGTGACGTCCTAGACGCGTAATTGAGCTCCTTATTTGCTGATTGTTTGCGTAGGTTTTTACCACAATCCCTGAGATGGTTTTCCCTTTAATGAAGAGTGGACCTGAGGAAGACGTGCCTTAGGGTAAGGTCATGTTGAAGCTGACCCCCTATGTTCAGTTCAGAGGGTGGGGGTTGGGGGTTTGGAATCCTGAGGGCAGCGGGAGGGGGGGGGGGCTCGGGGTTTCCTCCATGGTCGAGCCGCAGGCTCGGAAATTGTTGTAATATCGGTCTGAAAATGCTGTTTTCGAGGGGTAAAATAGCAGACAAAATACACATATTCATACAGGCCGGGAGGGGGGGGGCTCGGGCTTAGTCCGTTGAG